TTCCAAAGTTTGTTGTTATGTGCCATCAAATTGGTTCTGATGCATAATGACCCTGTATATGGGTTTCCAAAGAGAGGCTAGAGAGTTTGAACCAGCGTCTTGCAGTTAGCAGTCCTGAAGTAACTAAAGAGAGAATGGGCATTACTTAGTTGGACTTACAAAGATGAATGATACCTCTGCTCTGATGGAGGAATAATCCCAATTCAATGCATTTCTGTGAGTTGGGCTAAGTAAAGACTGTTGTTGTTAGGTGCTGTCCAGCTAATTCTTGACTCACAGTGACCCAGTGTGGCAGACTACAACTGCCCCATAAATTTTCGTAGACATTAATCTTGACAGGAAGAAGCCCTAGCAGCACAGTGGTTAAGTGCTCAGCTACTAACTGAAAGATAGCAGTCTGAACCCACCAGTCACTCTGTGGGAGAAAGATGTGGCTGTCTGCTTCCATACAGATTTACAGCCTGGGAAACCTTATGGATAGAGTTCTACTCTATCCTAATAACATCATCATAAGTAGGGATCCATTCAACAGCAATGGCTTTGACTTTTAGTTTCTAATCTTTAAGGGAGTAGATCACCAGGTCTTTTCTCCGACAGAATGGCTAGTAGGTCTGACCTCCAACATTTCAGGTAGTAGCCAGCACTTAACTGTTGTGCCACCAAGCTTCACAATGAATGTCATATTTCTGCTAGCATGAGTAGATTCCGGTATACTTTTGAAAAAAGGGAACCTGTTGCATATAGTGGAAGGAACTAGTGGAAGGGAAGAGAGGTTTTAGGTGATATAGGGGAAAATGATGATAAACTGAAAGAAAATAAGAACTTTGTCAGTGACAGAGACAATGGACATAGTGCCTAAAAGATGCACTAATAGACCATAAGAATTTTACAAAGTATAAAAATAAGCTCTTTAGTTCTTATGGAATATCTTGTGTATTCAAAAAGCAAGTCTTAGAAAAAACTGCTTTCAAAAGATGACTTCAAGATGCAATTTAAACTGTTAAATGCTTATGGCTGCTACTTAGAAGTACTGACAGAAACAAATACAAGATTATGAATCCATAAAACCAAACAGACTTATAGAAGCTTGGCTTTTGGCAAGTCTAATATGGTGTGGTGCTGTGGGTTAATGCACTGGACAGCAGTGTTGGTTTGAACCACAAGGTAGGTGGTTTAAACTCACCAGCCACTCCTCAGAAACCATATATAGTGTCACTATGGATCAGAATTGACTCAATGGCACTTAATAAAACAACGTCAACCAAATAGTTCTAGTAAAACTGACTATAATACATATTCTGAGATTCTGATACAGATCTCGGAATAACCAAATTCTATTTCCTTAGTGAAGCACTACTAAAGCAGCATGTGGAGAGTCTAGTTTTTATTCTGGAAGCCTAGTTGTTAGGTGTATTGGATCAATGTAGAATCAAACTACAGAACAGGCAAAAAGATGAAACTGCAATCTTTTATAATAACTTACAATGAATGCAGCAATTAATTCTGAAGTTAGGCTAGGACTACGAGATTAGATCTACAGGGTAGACACTTCCTCTTCAGCATCCATATGGGGTGATGATGTGCTAAACATGCTTGCTTGTCAAGAGTCCAGTCATCCATTTAAAAACAAACAAAAAGCATTCTACTGTAGAGCATTTACCAGAATATTACATTAAATGTAATTAAAAATGAAAATGGCAAAGTGATGCAATGAGTTCTTTGTTAAACCTGGAATGAAAACATGGAATCTTAAACAAAGAAGGCTATAATACAACAAACTCTGCAATCATCAAGATTTCAAAAAGAGATCAAATATGGAAATATTTAATTTCAAAGTACTCTGCCTATTTGTTGAGACATTTCATAAAGAATATGATTATGAGTAAGGCGAAGTTCAGGTAATGTGGTGGATTAAGAGCTGAGCTGCTAACCTCAAGGTCAGTAGTTAGAATCTACCAGCTGCTCCACAGGAGAAAGATGAAACTTTCTGCTCCTGTAAAGATTTGTTGTTGTTATGTGCCATCTAGTCAGCCTCAGAAATCCTATACAGGGTTGCTATAAGTTGAACTGACTCCTTGGCATATAACAACCAAAAAAGCAAAGTTCCCTAATAGAGTTATTTTTTTTGCACCACTGTGCAACCCGTTTCAGTGCCGCAGCCTATGGACAAGGAGGTGAGGCAATGGTTCAGGGCTACAGTTTGCTCTGGCATGGGACACTATGAGAGGCCCATGGGGAAGAGCCTGCCATAAATCCAAATCCATGCATGTTGTTGTTGTTTTTAAGTGCCATCAAGTCAGTTCCAACCCACAGCGACCTTGTCTAGGGGTTCCTGTGGAGGAGCATTTCAAAGTCTGTAAAATGTTCACAGAAATTATAGACAAATGGGCTCAGTTGATACTGAGGATACTTGAATGTATCAAAAGAATCACAAATTAACTCTTACGATCCAGACTCACAATCCTCATGCATTGTGAATCTGACTACAATTTCACAAACTTAACTGTACCAAGCTGTCAAGGCTTAGGACAATTTGGAAAACCCACAAGATAGCTTTAAAGTTAAAAATGTACCTTAAATGCTAATAAGCAAAGAATTTAGTGAGGGCTGATATGGTGTTTCGGTATGGATTACATCTCAATGAAAAGAAAACAAAAATCCTCACCACTGGACCACTAAACAACATTCTTATCAGCGGAGAAAAGATTGAAGTTGTCAAGGATTTCATTCTTCTTGGATCAACTATCAGCACTCATGGAAGCAGCAGCCAAAAAGTCAGACAATGTATTTCATTAGGCAAATCTGCTGCACAAGAGATTTTTAAAGTGCTGAAGAGCAAAGATGTCAGCTTGAGGACTAAGGTGCGCCTGACCCAAGCCATGGTATTTTCAATAACCTCATATGCATGTGAAAGCTGAATAGTGAATAAGAAAGGCAGTAGAAGAATTGATGCTTTTAAGTTATGGTGTTGGAGGAGAATACTGAAAGTGCCATGGGCTGCCAAAAGAACCAACAGGTCTGTGTTGGAAGAAGTACTCCTTGGAGGCCAGGATGGCCAAACTTCATCTCTCAGACTTAGGACACACTGTCAGGAGGGAGCAGTCACTGGAGAAGAATATCATGTTTGCTAAGGTGGAGGGTCAGAGAAAAAGAGGAAAACCCCCCAGTGAGATAGACTGGCAAAGTGGCAGCATCAATGGGCTCAAGTGTGGCGACAATTGTGAAGTTGGCCCAGGATCGGGCAGTGTTTTGTTCTGTTGTACATAGGGTTGCTATGAGTAGGTACCAACTTGATGGCACCTAACAACAACAACAAATGGTGCTATAGGATAAGCACTAGACGACTAACTAAAAGGTCATCAGTTTAACTCACTAGCCACTCCTTAGAAACCTTATACAGGGTTGCTGTGAGTGTGAACTGACTCAACCACACTTAACACCACCACCTTGTGTCTTATAGAGTCCCTGGGTGGCACTGTAGGATAATTAATGGACTGCTAACCGTAAGGTTGGTGGTTCTAACCCACCCGGTACAGCACAGCTGTACTGCTAATGAGAAAGTTTAAGAATGGGACTGGACTTAAATGAGATAGCTGACAGGCTCCTCGGAAATCCCATACAGGGTAGCTATGAGTTGGAACTGACTCAATGGCATGTAATAACAAACTTTTGTCCAATACGAAAAGAATGAATTATCTTATACTTTCTTGATTGCCTGAGTGTTCATGTCTACTATTTCCAAAGTACCTGAAATTACCAAATGTCAAGATGAAGAATATACTCAATACAGAACCCTACATTCTGTTTTATTTAGATATTAACATATAATCAATCACAGAGAAGGGAGCTGGAGTCCATATACACTCACCCAGAAAAACGACACTCTCAAACCCCTCTTCACTCATTACCTTAATTTCCTCACAGCACAGCTATATTGCTGGCAAGAGACCACATGAACAGGATCAAGCCTATAAAGAGGCTTCTGCCTGTTGGTAAAACAGAACAAAATATGCTACCCATGGCCACGGGTGGAGACAAGAAACGTAATCTAAGCAACTAAATTAGAGTAATGTACATGCTTTCCGCTCTGAATTGCTGACGAACAATGCTCAAAAAGATGGGAGCCATAAACTCCACAAATCTAGGATGTATTTATTCATAATGGTTTTCTTTGACCACATCTCAAAAAAGGAGTATTAAAGAAGCCATACAAATAAGGGTTTCTGCAGGAATTTCAAAAACTTCTGAATCATGGCTTAATATAAAAGAATCCTCTTTCTTTCAAAACATACCTGAGTTTCAGACCAACTCTTAATACTAGCCTTGTTGCAAACTCTGCCAACAAACAGCAAGCCACTAACCTTTCCTGAATCTCCAATACATGCTTGTACAAGAGGAGTCCAGGCAAGATTATGTCTAAAGTCACTTCCAGTCTAACAACCTGTGTGTCTCAGCAAAACTTAAGAACAAGCACATCATTCATTGGGCATTATGCAAAACTCCAAAAAGAAAATTTTAAGTGACAAACTTCATGACTATGCGACCTTCAAAACCTATTCTGGGTGACTCAGATCAGCGCTCTGAACCCCTTATTTTGAAAATTTAACACCAGGGGGTGAGGGGGTTCTACCATAATATGCGAAAACAGACACCTTTGCTTCTCTGGGAAGGAAAGACTTATTTTACTATTTTGCCTTTTTGCTGTTTCACTAAATTACATGTACACAGAAACCACAGTGCCTGGAATCAACCATGTCTGATACTCTCCCGGGCCCTCAGTATCCTCACCCAGACTTTGGATTTCGGGGTACAAGCGGAGGAAGGAAAAACAGCTGCAGTTAATGGCAAGTAACTCGAAGAATTTAAAAGGGGATTCGTGGTGGAGGTGGCCCCGCGCCTCGCTGTCCCCTTCCTTATCCCGGCCAGGGGCTGAGGGCTGGCTGGGGCAGCACCAGACTGCCCCACTCGGCCCCGGGCGGATGCGGGACTGCGGAAGTTACCTGTGAAAGAGTCAGGGTAGATGGACTCTAGAGCCTCCAGCTCGTTACGCTGCTCCTCACCGTAATCTGTCATCGTGACCCTAGCCGCTGCCCATGGATCGCTCAGACACCACCGCTGCGCTATGCAGCCGCGACAGTCGGCGGCAGCCGACAAGGCGCAGGCGCAGGATCCCCGATTGGGAATCTAGGGACCCAAAGCCAGGCCTGCTGAACTACAACCCCTCGCCGAATTCTGCCTGCTCATTAGTTCTGCGTTCGACTCATTCGGTCTGAACGACAGGGGCACTGATTTTCCGCCTGCCCCAAAAATCACGCTCGGGATTTGCTGGAATGACACAAGTGTTCGATCCGGCGTTCGCCGAGGACACCTAGGACCGCGTTCTTGGGCGTTCCATTGCCTGAGTCTGAAAAGACCCGCGGCGTGGTATCTTCGCTAGATCTTCTGGGCTGACGTTTTGGCTCAGACTGTGTTGGGCCTATGGGATGGGGGGCGTGCAAGAGCTTGGAAGGTTTCTGGTGTGCGACATTTTTTGGCGCAGTGTCGTTGGTGGTGGGGTCGATATGCTTTCTGAAGTTCCACGGGAGTGGAACGGTGGGCCCGGATCAGTGTAGTCAGTCAGTCTAGTGAGCATAGGAGCAGAAGCTCGGTCCATGTGTGCAGTGAGTCCGGAAAGATGGTCTTAATAACAAATCAAGTCCCGGGAGAAATCATCTGGAAGTCAAGGTTCTGGAATCCAATCTCTGTCTCCTGTTAAGTTTATACAATGAAAGTGACAAGATAAAATTCTTTTATTGGGCGTTTCTATGAATTGATGGTATTTAGGTTTCAGTAAGGAAGTCCTGGTGTGGCACTGCGGGTTAACGTGCCGGACTGCAGGATAGCTTTGAACCATAAGGTCGATGGTTTAAGCTCACCAGCTGTTCCTCGGAAACCCTATTCAGCGTCGCTATTACTCGGAACGGACTCGACATAACAGCTATATATGTACTATAAATACAACAGCTATATATGTACTATAAATATAAATATGTACTATAAATATAAATCTTTACGGGAGCAGAACACCTCATCTTTCTCCTGTGGAGCAGTTGGTAGTTTCAAACTGCTGACCTTGGGGTTTGTAGCCCGATTTGTAACCACTTCGCTAGCTGAGCTATATTGTTGTAAAGTGCATTCGAGTCGGATCTGACCCATAGCGACCCTATACTTGGTTTCCAGGGAGTGACTGGTGAGCTTGAACCACCGACCTTGCAGTTCAAACAGCTTTGCAGTCTGGTGCATTAACCCACAGAGCTATGTAATTATTAGTGTGGCGCTGTAGGATAAGCACTGGACTGCAAGGTAGGTTTGAACTGCAAGATGGGCAGTTCAGACTCACCAGCCGCTCCTTGGAATCCCTATACAGGGTCTTTATGAGTCGGAACGACTCCATAGCACTTAATATAGATAGATTATAATGCACTGGACTGCAAGGTCAGTTTGAACCTCAAGGTGGAGCGTATGTATATATATATATATATATATATATATATATATATATATATATATACATACTGGTAGCGTAGTGGTTACGAATCGGGCTGCGAACCTTAAGGTCAGCGGTTCGAAACTACCAGCCGCTCCGCGGGAGAAAGATGAGGCTTTCTACTCCCGTAAAGATTTACACCCTCGGAAACCCTGTACAGGGTCGCTATGGGTCGGACCCGACTCGATGGCACTTAACAACAACAACAACAATATATATATACACACACACACATATATACACAGTGCCACTCTAGGACACAAGTCAATTGGAAAGTGTTCTAAATGATATATACTTTGAAACGACCATACTTAGACACATTTGGGTACTGACCGATTCCAGGCATCCTTCTGAACTTTCAGAAAATAAAAGTGAAAACTCTTCTGTGTGGGGAGAATAAAGTATTCTGAAGTTACTTGCCTTGTGTACGGGTGCTTATTGTTCTGGATATGCTCAGTGCACAGGAATTATGATTTGTTATCTGTGAAGTCTGTGTGTGACACTGTAGAATGATAAGGCTGCAGTTCAAACTCACCAGCCGCTCTTCAGAAGTCCTAAACAGGGTCGCTGTGAGTCTGAGCTAACTTGAAGGCACTTAACGACAACACAGGGCAAAGTAGAACTCTTGTAGTTTCTGAGCCTGTACATTTTAATGAGTTACCAGAGGGTAGGCTACAAAAGACTAAAAAGTCATGAAGTGAAACAGCAAGTGTTTATTTGAGAAAGGAAACTTGGTAGGGGAGACATGCCACAGATAGTGGTATCTCACAGAACTCGGAGGCATTGGGGGTTTTATAGAGCTAAAGGCAGGAACATACCCGTATAGCCTAAGCAGGTTCCTGGAATTGTTAGCAACTTCTTGTGGTTTTGGGTGTTACTTCCTGACTTCTTTTCTCTGGTTGTGTAATCATTTAATAGCCAAGGTGCAGCCAAAGATTTCAAGATGGATTTTGTTGCAAAGGTATCTGGGATACTTGATGGAACTGCTCACTCATGTGCACCACATATGAGGCCCTTGTTCCATACCCAAAACTGGCTTTAAAGTGCCATATTGAGGTTAACAGCAGGCCAAGTAAGTTGTTAATTGTACATGCCCTGTGTGCAATTGTTTTCCACTCTGCTGGGGTAGGGCTTGGGGCTTGTGGGCTTCTGCTCCTGTGGAGTTTTGTTATTCCCTGAAAAGTATTTTGCCAAGTTTCATTTCCTATCCTATCTGTGTTTTGCAAGACCTGTGCTTTTGCTAGAAAATTGTCTGCTCTTGATTCCTTCTCCCTCCTGGTTGCACCTTTCTCTAACAGAGCAGCAGGTAGGTTCAAAATGCTGACCTGTCAGTAGCCCAATGCTTTGCTCACTATGCCACAAGTGTTCCTTTCATTTCTACTTTTGTTTTTATTAGGTGCCATCAAGTCCACATCGACTCATAGCGACCTTATGCACAGCAGAACAAAACACTGCCTGATCCTGGGGCCAACCTCATTACTGTTGCCATGCTAGAGTCCATCAATGTTGCCACTTGGCTAATCCATCTCGTTGGGGGTCTTCCTCTTTTTCTCTGACCTTCCACCTTACCAAACATGAGATCCTTCTCCAGCGACGGGTCCCTCCTGACAATATGTCCAAAGTATGAGAGACGAAGTTTGGCCATCTTGGCCTCCAAGGAGCACTCT